TACCTTAAAATTGAAGAAATGTTTTTTAAAATGACATATCACAACAACGTATCAATAAAGCACATGCTGCAACTCAATCTGCATTGTCATTCTCTGTGACTTAATACCCAAGTCATTACTTTTACATCAACTGTCTATCCCACAGTCACATATAGTTTTGCTAATAAATTTAAGTTGTATTGCCAAAATATTTAAGTGACTTAAAAGTACTCAACCAGCGTTTCAACAGCATGCCACAATCCATGATCAGAAGAAAACAGTCTCCAGGAATCATAAATCAGCAACAAGTAAAACATTAATTTACATGTGGAAGCCAAAAACTGTGGTTTTATAAGCATGAATTATTATGCCTGTTCAAAGTGTTTCACTATAAATTCTTGTTGTTTGGATCTATTTTGACAATTAAGGCTTGATTCAGGAGTAAAGTTAAGGTGAACATAAATGCTTCTTCAAATGTCATGACTGTTTCTTATTCAGTTGCTTCATTTTGTATATTTGGTTCACTATGTCCACAGTGAGGGTTATTTCTGACCCTGAAAAATCTAATGAAAATACACTTCAGGTTCAGACTTTTCTGAGAGCTCTAAAGAATCTCTAAATTCTGAAACAAGTCAACTTCTAAAGGTAGTAGAGTTGCTAAATCCTGAGGCAAGGCTGGAAAGCTCTTCAGAAAAAACATAAAATATTTTCCTATGACCCTGTGAATCAACAGCTAAACAATTTACGGGACTAATGCACAAGAAAAAATAAAAGAAGCAATCCCCCTGAAGGTATAGTGTGGACTACAGAAATACATATCCCACCAAGATACAACACTCCATTTCAATGAACAATTTAACAAAAACACCACAATGTGTACAACAGAGTGGAAGATTTATGCCTGATCCTGTGAGGCACTGAGTACCTCCGCTGTATTAAGTTATCTTTTAAGCCAACAGATGCAGAGTGGAACTAACATTTCCATAAGCTATTTAGTTAACTAGAAATCACCAAATTAAAATCCTTTGACTCAATCATATTTCTGCCAAAATGTTAATACGAGGCTTGACATTCTGGCGTGTCTGAACTTCTACTTAGTACCCAGCAAGACAGTGTTTCTTCACAAGCAGTAAGAAAATCTTAAGTAAAGAGAGGTGGCGGGGGGGTGTGGAATCATGTGAGAATTACATGCCATAGTGTCCCCTCTCCCCTGTACCTCATCCAGGGAAGGAATACATCCTCACAACCTCAAGTCATCATAGGAGTCTTACCACCAAAGGTAAAGGCAGAACTTCCCCACTCAACTGCCTAAGTAGCACCAGCTGTGCTTCTGAAAGTACAGGACTACTGGATTAGTTAAACTTGGCTTTTTGAGAGAGGTCTGATGTGCTGTGCTCTTCCTCCACTTAAAAAGCAAAGTAGTCTTTCTTCAGTTCAGGAGATAAACACATTTACCTCCAGTTCCAAAAATTTTGGCCTAGACTAAAAGTAAGCAGACAAAATCCAACAAATAAAAAGAATTAGAAACGTCTATTGGCTGAAGGTACTTTGGAACTTTGAAAACCATTGTTTTTAATAAATGTACTAGTAACAAGCCAGGCAGCTGAAAGAACACAACATTACAAATGCATGTCAGACTGTCTTGTAGCTCATCAGCAATGTAGTCACATACAACCAACATAGCTTAGAGAACTAACCAACCAAACTAAGCATCTACTTTAAAATTATATCATTAATCATCTATGATATATCATGAACCATCTATGCTTCACTGATGGTTTTGACTAGATCCCCATTGACTAAAATGAGAACTTTTTTTCCCAAGTCTCATGAAAACACTTACACTAGAAGGCACTGACATCTGACACCCAGATAACAGCATTCACAAGTAACTGTTGAGGACTCAAGTTTCAAACAAGTTTTATAGTACTATTCCAATTTTATTTCCTTTTATCAAATTGAACTGAAGATAGCATTAACTGAACAAAGCCTACAGCTAGGATTTTCCCAACAATGTGCTATTTTATAGGACAGAAGCATTTACTCATAAAAGTATCTCCAACAAACAGGCTTCTCCTTCTTTACTTAGAGAGGACAGTGCCCTTGAGAACACATAGTAAGGAACAAATTTGCATTGCAAAATAGATTATAAAATTACTAATAACTACCATATTATTGTTAAAAAAACAACCCACACAACAAAAAACAACCAAAACACCACATAACTGTGAATACAAATATTTATGCAAAAGGGAACAGCACTGCCCTTCATACCATGTTCATATGGTGAAAAGGTTCCAGCATCTATGTTTATGTAAGGATCAATTTTGATTGCAGTGACACGTAGACCACACGATTTCAATATGGTGCCAATGCTGCTTGCAATGATCCCTTTGCCAATGCCTGAGATGACACCACCAGTTACCAGAATGTACTTCATTGGAAAATCAGCACAAGCACACAGATCTCGAGCTGGAAATCTGAAATTACAAAGACGTACAGCTGATGAATGCAAATTAATCTCAGGGAAGAACACAGCTTCAAGTATGCAAAGAATCCAAGTTGAAATTATATTTGAAAACAGACAACAGAAATTACCATTTTGGAGTCTGGGAGTAGGATTCATCTCTCCCAGTTTATACACCAATATGTAAACTAAGCACCTAAATCCACTCCGAAGCCAGTCGGAAAAAAGGTAACATTTTGATACACTGCCCTGTGGAGATGTCAAAGAGGCACAGTTCATCTGACATATTCAGAAAAGCAAAATGAATCTCATCCTGGATTCTGCCTGAATTAAAGTAGTTAACAATTTCGACTGTGTTTTGAGAAGTCAGCTCAAAGATTGTTCATCGCTACACAAGCCAGAACTCTCACATTCTCTACCCAGTAGCTTTACCTTCAAAAATAGTGACTGTAGCTTCAAATATCTATTAAAATCAGAATGTTATACCATCCACTCCATTTTTCAGCAGCTTTCACTTCTCCAACTCACGGTGTACCAAGTATTTAACCAAAAGTCTTACAATATCCTACATCAATAGAACATGAGACCAGGAGAGAAAAACTGAACCAGAATGTCCATATTTATACTACTGTACATTACTGCTCTAGAGCCTTGAGTCCTTTCTCCACATGCCTACCCATTCTCCCTCTCCAAGTAATTACTGTGAGAGAAAAATCAGAAAACGAATAATTTAGCACCTCTGGACTATGATGCAAAGTAAGAGTTGTCTTCCAGAAAATAGCATCATATCTGTTTTAAGTTTCAGGTTTAGAGAAACACCTGACGTTATGACACTCTTTAGCATCATGCATTCAGAATGGCAACCCTGGATAGAGTAGCTCTGAGACCTATGGCACGGCCAACTTGTCAGAGTCTCTGCTTCCCTGTCTAGGCCAAGAAATAAATGATTCTTCACAAGAAGGAACTATGAATACTCACAACCACAATACACTGAAGATAGAAACATGATCGTTAATGTATATTATGGTGCTGAGGTCTTGGATACATTGTATTTCACAGTGCTCTAGAATAGTACTAGCATAAGCAACAACAGCTATTCAGAAACAGAAACTTCCTCTCTTGAAAATTTGATTCTTTATAAGAAGCCTGAAATGAAAAAAGGACCTACTATGAAGTAAGAGATTCAAATATCATACTAGGTAAATCACATGATTGAGGGGGGGAATAATCTAACAGATGCCAATATGTCTATGCCACCTTGCACTGTGTATGCATAAGAGTGGTAAGGGATCCAGAACTATTAAAAAAAGATGAGGAGGAAACCATCCCCTAAAACTTCTGATAATTACTATCCTAATTAAAAATTCTTCATCATCGTTGTTGTTGCTGTAATTTGCTGTTCGCATCAACTGCTGTTGATGTTGCCCCAATAGCCTCCTACTTCAGATTGATTTCACATAAGCATAGATTTTTGCCACCATTTCTCCACCCCATCTGAAAGAGAATGATGTTGTGGGCATCTCATCCATAATTGTATTTACGTTACATTTAGGCACTGTGAAGGCTCATCACTGGAAGAATTTTTGAACAATGACGTCATGGCTCACCACAGAGCAAAAATTCTAGGGTCAAGAAAATCTTTCCTTACTCAAGTACCTAATTCATTCAAAATGACATGCAACAGCACACGATGTAGCAGCACTCAGTATAAATCAAAGCAGTATGGTACTTCAATTCCTGGTAGTAAGCTAGTGAATGAACATTGTAACTCTTCCTCCTACTATACTGAAGTAACATAAATAAGGCCTGGATCTTCAGGAGACAGAGCTCAAGAATGTAACAATGCTTGTTACCAGTGCTCTTTTATTTCTTGATAATAGGCATTAATAAACTATTATTTCCTTGTCACTATGGACAAAAGGAAGACCACAGCCACCAGAAGTATTTAACTCAGGAGAAAAGATTATCAGGAATTAACTTTTCCCTGCCATTTAATTTTAATATGTGATTTTTTAAGAGCATAGATTTTAATATTTGGAGCCTACCTCCTCTGTTTCAGACTCTTCCTTCGTAAATCAGCTACTGTAGTTGTCAACTTTAACATTCCATAATCACCTAAGCCATTTTCAAGGCTACCCGAAGAAAAAAGGAGGGGGCATACATTATTTTAACAACAGGTATAAATCTTGAGTATGTGCCACTTCAAAACTCTTAAACCCTATGTCCTTGCTTCGAGGAACCAAAATGAAAGGGTCGCTGTGATTTTAGCCAGAACAGCGATTTCCCAAGCAGCTTAAAGGAAACCCAATGTTTGCTTGCAATCGAAACGAAGAGCGCCAGGTGCCTTGGGAAGTCGCTTGTAAAAGAAGGAAACAGATTTACGGGAGGGAAAGCAAAAAGAGAACAGGGGAAGAAAACATGTTGCTGGGAACCGGAAACAAACACAAGCAGAGGGGAAGACGCAAGACTCCTTTTAGGCTTGTCAACAGGGGCTTGCCGCCTCCGGCGGCGATGGCGGGGCGCTG